ATAGTAAAGTGCAATCATCATCATCATCATCAACAGCCCTTAACAGTCCACTACTGGACATAGGCTCTACTCACAATGGAAGTTTTGGCCTACTATACCACGATCGCCAGACGGGTTTAATAGGGGTGGTGACACTCTGTATTCTTAATCCGTCACCACACGGATATGCAATCTGTTTTACATTAATTTAACTTTCGAAATCTAATATGCTTTTTAATATATATTTCGTCAATCAATTCAGGCAGACAACTGAATTTAATAACTAAAAAGGAGATATTAGAAACGGTAGTTACCTTAATTTGTATAAAAGTACCCTGTATAATTCTCTGTATACTACTTTTATAATTTAATTTTTAATATGACTTAGAGGCAAATATGCAGACGGGTTACCTGATGGAAAGTGGGTACCGATGCCTATAGATGAATACAACTCAGCAGTCGCAAACGCGTTGCCAAACTTTAAGACCTTGACGCTCTTTTCTTGAAAGTTTGGAGGTTGTGTCGTTGCGGAAATACGGCAGACGATAATTTGTTCCACAGATTCGTTGTGCGAGGCAAAAAGTTTTATTAGAACGATCGTTTGAGTCAAAATATAGAAGTTTTTAAAATAGGTTAGGTTAGAAATCTTTTTTAATAACATTAACCTTTCCATTACCTGATGAGCATAAATTTTCCTTCGCGAATTTCCTTAAGTGGCGTCATCTGAGTCAGTCACCCTCTTGCCCTATTTATGACTCAGGGTACCATCATCTTTCGAGGGGATTTCCGCACGGAAAAAAAAAAGGGTACCATCATCAAAGAGGATTACAAACATTGCTTGACTGATGTGTGATGACTGATATTCATTACATCGACAGATGTTCCCGTAAAGTTCGGCTAGATCTGCTAGGCGTAGATCATTCCAGTTTTTTTTAAATATTTGCAATAAAATTATTTGTCAATTTATCATTTTTTTTATATTATTAAAAAATACAGCTACAGGAATATATCCTGTGTCGCGAAGGACTTTACACACATACATGCAACGGACACAAAGAACACCCAGACTCAGAAAAACAATTTGTGGATCACACAAAGTGTTGTCCCATGTGGGGATCGAACGAATACTCAACTCACAGCACGAAGTGGCATGGCGAGCGCTAAAAACACCACGACGTCAGTGCTGTCTAGTAACCCGAGGGTAAGTGATTACCATCGCCCATGAGTATCTGCAACTCAAGAGACACAAATACGTTGGCGCCCTTTGAGTGCCTCCTACAGATTATGAAGCCTCCGTTAACGACAGTAGCAATGAAAGAATTTTCTATGGGGTATCACTCCGGTCGCGCCGGCCCATATATGCCGAAGCATGGCTCTCCCGTCCGTGCGGTGACGGATTAAGAATACAGAGTGTTACCACCCCTACTCATCCCGTGGATGTCGTAAGAGCCGATTAAGGGAGCAAATTACGTAGGACAACAGCACTGCAGAGAGAAGGAAAACTTGACACAAACCCTATAGCATCCCGTCTGGCCAGCGAGGTATAGTCGTCCAAAACCTCCTTTCTAAGGAGAGGCCTATGCCCAGCAGTGGACTATTAAAGGCTGTTGATGACGATGGCTCTCTCAAGCAAAGTAAAGCCTGTACACTTTATGGATTTATGTGATTAAGTATTTCGTAGTGTATATGATCTGCTTCTCTGTTATTTGTCTTGTTAAATTTATGATATGTACATGGCGTAGTAATTAAGGTCTGCAACTGGTTTCACGCATAGCGTCATTTTGGGCCCAATGGAAAACTATCGTCAAGGCTAAATTGGGTCCGTTTTTGGCATCGGTGGTAACTCAAACTGCAAAATTGACAAAAGTGTAGTGTTATTGCACAAACGAACCCAATTACGTAAGGCACATTTTTACAATATTACCAAAAACATTGTTTATAAATGAACTGAACAACTCTCAGTTAACATTGCGTAAGGTATAAATGACGTATTGTTTAATTAGCGTGAGCTACATTAAAAATTGATGAGTAAAATAATTCTAAGAAAAATCTAGCGTAATGCGAGAACAGTCACGGAGAATTTGTTAGAGTCACCGAGATAACGGTAACCAATAACGAGGCCATTCTGATACTAAAGGAAAAGGAAAACAGAAAAACAGTGTTATCCAAAAATAGTTGCACTGAATCTGTGTGCTCTTTGTGTACTTTGTTTTTATTATAGTATCAGCCGATACCCGCGACTTCGTTCGCCTGGAATTTAAAAAGCGCTGCCTTAGTAGTGTAGTACGGTATGGGCTGCAATCCATGAGGCCACGAGTTCGATTCCCGGTTCGGGACTTTTTTTATAAGGTTTTTCTTAGAGGAAAATAGCCTAAGTTACTCCTTATATAGACCTATCTGATTCCTGGTAGTAAAATATTATCATAATCGGTCCAAACATTTTGAAGCTTACCCGAAACAAACAGGCCGACAGACAGACAAAAACTATTTAAAAACTGGTTTTTAGGCATAGGTATCGTGCAACCGTGTGAGCATAAAAATAACCTATTATATTGACATTACGAACAGACACTCCAATTTTATTTATTTGTATAGATAGGAGCAATCGAGCACACAGGTCAGCTAATGCTATGTGATGGGCTCCTGCAGCTCTAGTGACCCAAATATATTGCGCAGACTTTGATTGCTAGCAGAAATTGGCGAAGGAAAATAATTTGGATCTGCGGTTATATCGTGGTAAGAATACGGAGTGTCACCACCCATATTCACCTCGTGGATATCGTAAGAGCCGACTAAGGGAGCAAACTACGCAGAACAACAGCATTGCAAAGAGAACGAAAACTTCAAACAAAACATTTACCAACCCGTCTGGGCAGCATTATATAGTAGGCCAAAATTTCCTTTCTAAGGGGACGCCTATGTCTAGCAGTAGACTGTTAAAGGCTGCTGATGATGATATATCACTATGAAACTAAACGAAAGAATTGCACAACTCAAGCCGAGCATGCCCAATATGTGCTCTCCTGGGGTCACAAAGTTTGTAAATTTTCTCCGGGATACAGGAATCGTTCGCGTAGGTACTACGAACTCCCCTGTATGTAATGTAAGAAGAAGAAGAAAGTGATTTTCTTGTTTGATATAATTTCTTGCCTTAACTACTACGGCAGTAGTAGAGTATAATAAAATTTTGGTTATCTAATGGTTAAAAACATGTATATGAATATAAGAGCACAAACTGCTTAACCTCATAATATTAATTCTTTCTAATAGATAGTTAAATATGTGAATAAAAACATATCTAAAAACAACATTTTGAATTTTCGCTAATTTATACCTAAAGCTATTTATGGAAAAAAATTGCTCTATATTTTTATAGAGGACAGAGGGCGGATGAGTAAACGGGTCACCTAACGGAAAGTGATTACCGCCGCCCATGAATTCCTGCAACTCAGGAGTCACAAACGCGTTGCCTGCCTTTTAGGAGGAGTACGTTAGGAGGAGGGTGTGAAGGTCGTATCGGTCCGGAAATGCCGCAGATGATAACTTGTTACCCAGATTGGTTTTGTGAGACAAAAAGTGTCTGGAAAAGCGCATAGTGGTAGTGCACCAATTATCCAAGTGATGGGGATGTAAATTTTGTCATGTGGAACGATGGCGGAAAGTTGCAGCCATGACATATACGATAGAGAATGCAGAGTTGATCTACGTAACGTTAAGGGATCTTTGGGCTATAGACGATTCGAGTCGCTCTTCGTAGGATGCGGCCCAGAAGGAGAAGGTGGTACTGCGGTGCTCTTGCATCTTAACCTAGGGTTAAGTGCTCGTAACCTTGCATAGAGCTGAGAACAGTTTTTCATATGCGGCCGGACTTGCATCTTATAGAGCTGAAGAAGGCGTTTACGTAAATTAACGAAAAATGAAAGTTAAGCGAATTTTACGCACGGCGTGCACCGCGTAAAGCAATAGTGCTAATAAAAAATAATTGGTTAACGAATAGTTCGTCCTTAAAGGATATTTTATTTAATTATGTCTATTTTCTTATGTTAACAAACAAAAGCGAACAACAGTGATTTTTAACTTAAAAAAAAATGCTAAATACCTGTACAGGTACAGGTATTTTATTACTAATAGATTATTGAAACTCTACCACAATACGTAATCCACTTAACATTTCCGAAAACTTTAGTTTAAATATACTATGAGACTGTGTTGCACAGTAGAATAATTATTAATGAGTAACAGATCTCCAAAAAAGTAATTAAACAACAAAATTACTCATCACTTATCAATGTTTGCAATACCTATCTTAAATTAATTATACATGTGTAATAATGTAAATTTTATTTTTAAAGGAAAAATCTCATATTTTAGATTTTTTAATTTATCCTTTATTATATAACAATAATTGCTTTAAAACATTTGTACACAGTTTTAACCACATTATAGATTAAAAAGGTTTACGGAACCCTTTTTTTCACTTTAGACATCGCCGATACAAGTGTACCTGTGAATGGGTATATTCAAATAAATCACAGTTCGTAAATATTATAATATAATATTAATTTTGGATCAAACTCATGGTTACTATGCTTCTTATCGCGTGCTTTTTTAATATTATATTTCTTAAAAAACAAATTTTAAAGAAATATTCTACATTAGAATTTAAACTACGTAGAACCTTAAACAACAAATGCAATGGACAAAGAAACCTGAATAGGTATGAGAAAAATATCAATTAAACTCAGTAAGTAAACAAAGATAATGGCCATCCCCCCTTACTCACACATGAGTCACATCTCTGTACGCGATACACGCTAGTGTGAGACTAGTGAGTGAGCTTCACAATCGTCGGACGCGTCGACGCACGCGCACGTCACTTCTCTTGAAAAATTATACAGGGTGTATTTACGACAAAAAGAACCTTTTTCCTGTATGATGTTCATACTTTCTCGGTGATAAATGTGTGTTGTTTGAATTGTAATTACTGTGTTTAGTGAAGTGTTGTGATAATTAATTTCAAAATGTTACCTAGGATTCAGGGCTTGGTGAGTACTATCGTAAGTTTTATTTATCTTTTTGGTTTACTTTTAGGTAAAACTCATATTTAAAATCTTTATACATTTTTCCAATCTTAGATGTAAGACGCGGTGATGTTTGTTTTATTTATAAAAGTTTTAGAGACATGTCGTACTGGTTTTGGGTTTTGGTATTGGGTATAACGTTTAACTTTTACGGCAATCGCATTATTTTTAACAATTCCTTCCCAGCTTACCTAGTTTTACTTATTGTACCTATAGCATAAATACCATGGCGCATTAACAATACTACATGTGTTAAGACTAAAGTAAAAGTACTAGTAAATAACTTGGATGTTTATATCTTAAAATATCTCTCAGTATTTTTCTCTTTATACCAATGATAATAAGTAAGTTTTCATTTGTTTTTTTATTTGAATGAGACCGAACGGGAAGTAAACCATTTCGAATAAAAAGAGAATTTATTAACAAATCCATTCATAAATAACGGAGTCTTAGGTAACAAATATATAAAAAAAATACAGCCCAATTAAACCTAATTTTTTTAGAAGTCGATTAAAAATAAACTGTTCTTTAATATTCATTGCAAGTTATGTAAAGAAAACGCGTGTTATTAAGTATACACATGGTTCATTGGACACCACCTGGTAACGGTACTGACATAAACTACACTTTTTATTTAAACTTTTAATTTATGAAACGTGGTATCTTTCCAAGTCATAATGGTATTACGAATTTAAGTAGTATTACCTAACAATTACATTCCTAGAGAAAGAAATAAGGAAGTGGTTTGTAGAAACAACAACGAAATTATGTACAATTAAACTACTGCAGTTAGCTGATTACTTATTTACCAACGTTAGTTAGCGAATATGGTAGGGGAATGAATTAAAAGTGTTTAACATTTAATTAGTGATAACTACTATTATTTAATATTTATTTCTTATGAAATTAAGAATATAGTATAATAGTAATAGTAAATTGTTATGATATTATATTATTTATTTATTAATTATGCATCATGCACATTTAGTTCATTGGCGGACTTAATGCCCAAGGCATTCTCTACCAATACAGAGAAAACAGAAATTAGATGTATTTGAAAACAAAATTTTGGCAATGCATACTAAATGCAATCACTACTAGTATTATAAATGCGAAAGCGATTAAACGAGTTTAATGAAATTTGGCATGAAGGTACTTTGTTTCTTAAGTAAGGACATCAGGTATAGGCTGGATTTTACCGCGACAACTGACATACACGCGGGCGGAGTGTCGGGCCAAAGCTAGTGTTACATTTATAAACTCATAATATACCACACCTGTACGCATTATACATGTGTACATATATTACAATACAAAAATACATACATACGCATTTATAGGTACTTATAAAAAATTAGAAAACAAAGTGTAAGTAAATTATTATTTCCATTTTTTTAAAGAAGTTAACTGACCTACCAATAGAACGCTGAACGTACCGTTAATCTCATCCCTTGCACTGAGCAAAGAATGTAACAAACGGAACCGTCAATTAGCCATAGGTCATTGTTTTCATTTAAAGTTAAATTTAAAAAAAATGCCACCCACTTCGATGTGCCTACATATCGTGGTAATAAAATATTTTTTTATTTTCATGGTGGTATGTTTCATAATTTTAATGGGACCACACGGGAAGTATACTCTCTCTCATATAAAATATATTTTGCAAATCGTTTCATAAATGTCGGAATTCTTACTAATACAGTAGAAAAGACAACTTCCTGCTTTTTGAAGGCAATTAAAGAGTAGTAAACCGACCTTTGATTACCTACGATCTAACTGAACTACCATTATATCATCCCTACTATTGAACTATGAAAACAACAAATAACAAAAATACGTAAAAATTTATGAAACAATAAGTCATTGTTTGAAATGGGTCGTAAAAATAATAAAAGCACCAAATAAATACGTTCCAGTTCATTGAAGCATCATGTTCTAATACCATTACTATTTATTTGTAGTAACATTCATTTTGTATTCCAATCGCAGATTCACTTCTTAAAACTAATACAACAGAAGATCATTACGGTCTTTCTATAAAAGTTAGGTGCCTTATCAAGAGTTACCTTGTGTAGAATTTGTCTACATTTATATCATGAGTCAGTCTTTGAAAATTCAGTATCACCTGTTTAAAATAATGAAAAGAGCTACCAAATACGAGTTAGAAAGCCAATGGATAAAAAGTTAAATGGAATCGATTATCGTTTGACCTATATGTATCGATCATGCATATTAACGTAGAGGAATGTCGATCACGTCTAAACGATTTCACTTCCGAACGATACGTGTGTCGGTCACGTCTGTGAATATTTACAATATTGCAGATGCTTACATTTATATCGATAAAAGTATGTTATTATTGAAAGTATCAGCATTATTAATGAATTACTTTACTACAAAACCAATGCTATCAATCAAAACGCAATCTGTTTTGACGTGACTTTTAAATATTAGTTTTGGATACTTAAAAAGTGGTTACGCTCTTATGTCTCAAGAGTTGCAGGCGTCTGTGGCGACTCCCACATACAAAGAACCAGAAACATACTACAGCGCCATTTAACGAAGACAGCCCTAGCTACAGAGTAACTCCTGAATGAGAATTGCTAATGTATCGCGATATAAAGAATTATCTCGCTGATTAGCATATATACATCCCAACATCAACTGTTGGACCCGCGGCCCTCTAGGCATGATCTGAGGATCCTCCCTTTGTGTTGGAGGGTCATGACACCCGTTCCTTTACACGTATATTAGTGGCGGTAGGCACTTATCATCACGTTACTAGTCCGCTTGTTTGCCCCGTATGCTATAAAAATCTGGAGCAAAATGGATATCCAAAGTTCTGTTGGCAGTAAGTCTAGAAATGATTATAGCATGAGGAAATGCTTCAATAACAGTCTCGATACATATCGTTATGTCAGTTGTTATGGTCGATAACTCGAGTGTTTGCCAGATAGAGTAATAAAACATTAGGTCAAGCTATGCTGTAATCCTTATGTTCGAGCGAACAATGCCCATTAATTATGTGATTGTTGTTGAAGAAAGGTTAAATAAAAACACATTGAGCTTGTATTGATTTCAATCATTATAATCATATTTATGTTCCTCTTGACATGATAAGAAAACAAGTAAATTTTTTACATGATTTTTACAGTTTAATTCGTACCCTAGAAAAAATAGGCCTTTTAGTAATTCTAAAACATCTAAGCGTTATTTTTATATATTTTTAAATTTAGCCTTTTGAAAATTGATCTTGTGATGGTCATCTGTCTATGACTAAGCATGGCTTCTCTATTTCTTAAGAAAAGGTTAAAGCCAAGCAATACAAAGAAAAGTGTTTATTCTGCTTTATTCCTATCCGGGGTCATAGCTCAGAAGAGGGATTTATTTCATGTTTTGGCTACTTATAATTGAGTAGTCTACCATTTATTTACGCTCTCACTACCAATTAACATAGGTTTTAATTCGATAAACACATTCAGCATATAACCTACTATCTTTTAGTCGTTTTCAAACCCAGGTGTTATGTACGCAATAGCTTTTTTATTGAGTTTGGTGAGTTTCACTATCAAAGTCATATATGTTATCTTATCATAATGGCAGGGTTTGTAGGTGTGTCTAAGCAACAAAAATAAAACGTATTAATAATAATTTATCATTCCGTTTTGTTGTTTAGCACTAATATCTTATACATATATCTTGATTTTCCAGAAGTAAATGTATGTAAATTTGTGTTTTATGTCACTTCAAATATTTGTTTTTATTTAATTTTAATAGCAGCTTTAAATGTTATCTTTAATCTCTGGTATTGATGACGATTAATCACATTTATTGATTGACATCTTGAAATAAAGTTGATTGATCATATTAGTTTTAAAATTAAAAATAAATGAAATGAAAAATAGTTCAACATGCCATACAATAAATCCTTTTAAAAAAAGTTGAACCGACTGCAAACAATACTGACAAACAGCACTAAAAATAAAAACAATTCCAAGCCAAGTAAAAAATCTATTATAAGTACCTTCAATATAGCAGGTAATATTTTAATATCAATAGTCCCTTCTAGTCTGTTTGAAGTCAGAAAAGAAGTTTGCCGTTAAAAAAATACAGACAATTGTTAACCTCCTCTTTTGTGTTTCTGAAGTCGGTTAAAAATCGATGTGAGTACAAATGTAAGATTAAAATCAACGTTAAAGTTCCCATTTAGAATGTCATTGTTTTAATACAAATACGTAAACATCTTTGTTTTCTAAAAATTCCTTTACGCCAACAATTATACTTTAAACTTTTTAAAATGCATATCAAGTATATATACATATATATATAGATATACTTGACATTCTAATATATATAGATAGTATGTTTTAATAACCACTACGTACGTACTGTGAAGTTTTCCTTTCCTTTCTTTCGTGAAGATATAAAGATATGATTTTTTTACTGGTCTATTAGTTACTGTTGAAATCAATGTAGTTGGATATTGTATATATATGTATATATATATTTTTTTATCTTCAGATCTACAGATTTATCTACAGAAGGAGAACATGACAAAACATTACTCTTTATAAACGTTAATAAAACCAATAGTTTCCTTAACAAACATAAACGAATTGAATTACAGAGTACACATAAGGAAACTCGTAACTAAATAGTTATGCTAGAGGAAAACTAACGGCTAACCTTCAGTTAGAAAACCATCCCGTGTTTTCACAGCTCAACTGCAATAATTACTTCAAATAACTGATAAAACTATACAAAATAACACTAAAAGAGAACTAGACACTCATAAAACTACATTATATTTTATGATGTAATTTATTTCTAATTTTAGTCACCCTACAAACTTTAACTGGCAAATGAAAAACCTTCAAAAGACAATGTTGCGACGGAGTAAATTTAAGATCAGTAGACATTGTGTACAATAAAGGCGAGTCACTATTTACGCTGTGAAGATAACA